AGCCGGCACCAGCCCCATGACCACCCACCCCCACACTACTTTCCTGGCCCAAGCCCTATTGACAGATCCCCCAGAATCTGAAGGAATTCAAGACAAATGGTTAAGAGGATAGAGTTAATAAAATTTGAAAAATTGAGGCCTGTCACTCCACTAAACTTTTTTCAATACCACTGACAGAAACATATTTCCCCAATGAGTGACCTTACACAGCTGTAGCGGGCAGGCGCAGCCGCAGCAGTGCTGCCAGGAAGCCAGTCTGCTATTTATCAAATATTATAAGCTGGGACAAACTAATCTGGAGCAGGGAGAAGAGGGGAGGGGTCCTGCACCACACTGCCTGGGGTGCTCCAGGTGTTTGCCCCAGCCCCAGACAGCCAGTGGGAGGTGACGGATGGCCTGTGATTAGCACTCCCCACCTCCATCCAGCCCTCTCACTTGCTCCCAGAGGCCTGGCCCTCTAGACCAGCTGCTTGGCCCGGAGGGGCCCTGGGTGGGAGGCAAGGGGAGGTCAGGCCAGGGCATGGGCCATCCTGATGCCCCCGGAGAGGCCAAGCGGGTGAGGCCCAATGTGGTTATTTATTGGAGCCTAATGGTTTGTGGCCGTTGGTCGTGGAGGTGAAATCGATCAGTAGTAGAAGTCAGGTTCTATCAATTATTACAGCAATTAGTCAAGTCAGAGGGAGGGTGCGAGGCTGGGGGACTAATATTAGATGGACATTATCCATGGTGCCCCCATGTCATCCTTTCCAAAATGGGGGCACATGAGTTGCCCTGAGGCTCCAGAACCTTGAGAAGCCTTTCCCCACAGTGAGTGGTTGGGTGGGGCCTCACCTGAGAGGTTCCTGGGCTGGAGACAGGCCCAATACTGCTTTCAAAAGAGCCCCTGTGCTGGCTGGCCCAGGTGCAGCAATGTCCTACCTGTTCCCATCCCATCCTTTATGAGAAGTGACATGACTCCTACTAGAAATTACTCAGTGGCCAGTGTTTATGGCGCCCATTTTTCATTCTGTAAGCAAATATAGATCACTGACAGCACTTGTTTGAGGAGGCTAATCTCACCCTCTGCTCTTTCTTCCACTGTTTTCCTCTCTCACCTCTCCTCCTTGCTCTCTCTTTCTTATTTTATTCTCTCTTACTATCCATTTCTCCTGTCTTCATTGTTTTTCTTGCCCTTCCAGAGGTCTCTCTTAAATCCCCTCTTCTACTCCAGCCCTTACCTCGTGACAGAGCTCTGCATGAGGCTGCCTAAAAAAGGAGAGGCCTTTCCACTGCTTAATTGTGGCTCCTTTTCTTCCCTAGCTGTGCTCAGCTTTGCAGAGATGGGAGGACACTGTCTACCCCTGGCTCCTCAGCCCTTGTAGAGCCCCTCAATGCTGAGAGCCAGAAAAAAACAAGTGGGCCAGGGCGGCTGGGCCACATGAATAAGCCCCTGAGCACTCTCTTCCTTTCTGAGCCCCCCACAGTGCTGTCTGGTTGTCCCTCCTTGAGCACCCTGATCACATTCAGCCTGCATTACAATTGTGTGCCCATCTCTTATCCCCATTAACTCTGACAGAGCTGGAGTGTGGTAGACTTGAACTCTAGGTAGCACCAAGTCTTAAGACAGGAAGTGGAACCTGCAAAGGAGATAGGGAAGAAATGGTTACAAGAGTGGGAGGAGATAGGGGCCAATATATTGGTTGCTACAGAACGGTCAAAAATATAAAGAAAAAGTTATTCACTGGCGTGGGCAACACCCCATCATCCCACATACAGAGCCCTGAAGATAGAAGATGCCCAGTAAGTGCCAACAGAATTGAAAGAAAGAATGAGGCTCCAACTGAGCCCCTGAGGACTTGGCTGCTAATTAGGGAGACCACAGACCCCTTTCCTACAAAGGAGGTTGCACTGTGTCCTATAACCACTGAAAGGCCACCAGGGGGCATTTCATTAGAGGAGTGTTGTGGCTTCTGTGGTAAGAGTATGGAATATTAAGAGTTAAGAAAATCTGGAAGTGGGTTCAACTTCTGATTCAAGTTATTTCACTTCTTTGACCCCAGTTTCTATGGCTAAAGCTTCAGCATTTTGCTTCCTACACCACAGAGTAGTTGTGAAGCTTAAATGATAAAATGTGCCAGGCATGGTGGCTCACGCCTATAATCCTAGCACTCTGGGAGGCCAAGGCCGGCGGATTGCCTGAGTTCACAGGTTCGAGACCAGCCTGAGCAGGAAGAGTGAGACCCTGTCTCTAAAAAAAATAGCCTGGCATCATGGTGGGCACCTATAGTCCCAGCTACTTGGGAGGCTGAGGCAAGAGAATTGCTTGAGCCCAAGAGTTTGAGGTTGCTGTGAGCTATGACACCACAGCACTCTACCGAGAGCAACAAAGTGAGACTGTGTCTCAAAAAAATAAAAAATGATAAAATGTATAGAAGTGTTCAGTAAATACCATTACTATTATTATATCCCAACTCCTTGATATTTACCTAAGAGACATGAAAATATACATCCGTGCAAAGATTTATACATGAATGTTCACGGCAGCACTATATAAAACAGCCAAAAGGGGGAAATAGCTTCAGTGTCTATCAGCTGTTAGATGGTGGGACTATTATTCAACCGTGCTAAACATGCATGAACCTTAAAACATACTACATTAAAGAAGTCAAGCATGAAAGGCTACATATTATGCAATTTCATTTATGTGAAAACTCCGGAATAGGCAAATCCACAGAGAAAGAAAGTAAACTACTGGTTACCAGGCCTGAGGGATGGGGAGTATCTGATAATGACTATGGGGTTTCTTTCCTAGGGGATGAACGTGTTATGGAATTAGATAATAGTGATGGTTGTATAACCTTATGAGTATATTTTAAACCATTGAATTATATGCTTTTTTTTTTTTTTGAAACAGTCTCACTCTGTCATCCTGGATAGTGTGCTGTGGTATCATAGCTTACAGCAACCTCAAACTCCTGGCTTAAGCGATCCTCTTGCCTCAGCCTCCTGAATTGTGGAGACCACAGGCCTACACCACCATACCCAGCTAATTTTTCTATTTTTATTAGAGACAGGATCTCACTCTTGCTCAGGCTGGTCTCAAACTCCTGAGTTCACAGTCCACCCACATCAGCCTTTCAGAGTGCTAGGATTAAAAGTGTGAGCCACCATGCCCAGCCATGGATTATATACTTTAAAAGGTTTAATTTTATGGTATATGAATTATATTTTCATAAAAAATATATATCAATATTTTGTACTAAATTCCTATTAGAAAATAGAGTTGTATGGGCGGCTTCTGTGGCTCAGTGGATAGGGCACCAGCCCCATATACCAAGGGTGGAGGGTTCAAACCCTGCCCTGGCAAAACTGCAACAAAAAAATAGCCAGGCATTGTGGCAGGCAGCTGTAATCCCAGCTACTCGGGAGGCTGAGGCAAGAGAATCGCCTAAGCCCAGGAGTTGGAGGTTGCTGTGAGCTGTGACACCACAGCACTCTACTGAGGGCAATAAAGTGAGACTCTGTCTCAAAAAAAAAAAAAAGAATTAGAGTCTTTAGGTAGAACAATTTTGTATCCTAATATAAATGTTTCAGCAGACTTGATTGAAAAACACTGATTTTTACAAGTCTGTCAACAAACAGTGGTTAGACAGCCACCCTGAGCCAGGCCCTGTGCTGAATGGTTCCTGAGCCAGCCTATTACAATCTGTCAAGGGCTGTGTCTTAACCCTGCCATACTATATATAATACTTCCTTGCAAGAAAGGAGCTTGAGAAATATTAGATAATTATTACCTTAATGTTCCATTGAACATGCACTTATTGAGCATCTGCTGTGTACAAAGCATAGCATTCTTCTGTATTTCTATCGTCCTGCCTTGGGAAGAGGGCCTTTAGGGCAGAGCCAGAGCTGACTCTTCTGTGTCCCCAGGCCATATTCATTCAAGATTTGTCAAACTGATTGTAATGTATAGCTTTTGAAGAAGGGAATGAAGTGCTCAGACCTGGGCTTTGAGATGGAGAGCCTGACAGCAGAGGGTCAGAGTAACCTTTCCTCCATAACTGCCAGATCTTGCACAAAGTAGATACTTCAAACACTTAGAGAGAAGGTAGGTACATGGCCTCCAGTTAATCTCTTCTTTTTGTTATACTCAAAGTTCTTTGTCCTCAAATCAGAGGAACCAATCATTAGAGAAATGCCTACCCACAGCTAGAGTGGCACACCCAGGTTGCTGGTGATACCCATGCCCTTCCAGAGTACTCAGCTGACTCTGGCAGACAGGAAATGCCCAGAGATAAGAGAGCATTAAAAGAGAGAAAAATATTCTTTGTTTTCTTTTTTTTTTTTCAGAGACATAGTCACCCTTGGTGGAGTGCTGCGGCATTCTAATCACCTAAGCCCAAGAGCAACCTCCAGTTCTTGGGCTTAGGCGATTCTCTTGCCTCAGCCTCCTGAGTAGCTGAGACTGTAGGCCCCCACCACAACACCTGGCTATTTTTTTGTTGCAGTTTGGACAGGGCTGGGTTCAAACCCTCCATGCTCAGTATATGGGGCCAGCACCCTACTCACTGTGCCACAGGCACTACCCAAAAGGAACCCTTTTATATGGCTTTGTGAATATGAATGTTTATATGCAAATGTGTTGGAAGATGTGGACATTCTAATAAATGTATATGTGAATTTGTGTGTTTACATGTACTTGTGTGAGAGTACATGAATCTATTTAATACATTTTGTTAGCATGTTCAGCTGTGTGTGTTTATGTATGTATAATGCAGCTATGTGTATGTCGTGTGTTACTGAACATGAGTGCATGCACATGTAGGAACCCCTGATACTCTGATATCTTTGTCAGAGAGGACTAGGAACTCTTCTAGAATGAATTGATGTGTTTTTCCCATCATTCTCTGATTTCTTACACTTCCATAGGCATTCCTCATATAGAAATTGAAGCCCCAGGCCACCTCCAAAGGAAGGCTGAGGTCCATAGAGTCTCTGACCATTTATCCATCTCTTGCCAGGAGCCAACCCCCTGCAGCGGAATGAAATGGGACACACCCCCTTGGATTATGCCCGAGAAGGGGAAGTAATGAAGCTTCTGAGGACTTCAGAGGCTAAGGTAAGTCTCAGAGAAAGGAGACCTGTAGGCACTCCATGCATCATTTATTCTTCCTCTCATTAAATTATGTCAGGTTCCACACCAAAAGCTACTTTTCTTTAGGTGATTATTGTCTGTTTAAATACAAATCCAGCTCTTAGTCTCATCAAGAATAGGAAGCTGCCCCTATCATGATCAGGGAGAGATCTGGGCCACTTGTGGCTTCTGAGGATTAACCTTTTATTTATTTATTTATTTTTTTATTTTGAGACAGAGTCTCAAGCTGTGCCCTGGGTAGAGTACCATGGCATCATAGCTCACAGAAATCTCCAACTCTTAGGCTCAAGGGATTCTCTTGCCTCAGTTTTTCTATTTTTAGTAGAGACAGGGTCTCACTTTTGCTCAGGCTGGTCTAGAACTCAATGAGCACAAGCTTTCCACCCACCTCAGCCTCCCAGAGTACTAGGATTACAGGCATGAGCCACTGCGCCCAGCCAGGATTAACCTTTAAATTAAGTTTTTGGGGTAATGGGCCCCCCAGCTCCTTTTCAGAGGAAAGGAGCTAGCCAGACAAAATCTTTACCCCAAGTGGTGTTTCCCCTAGGCCTCATACATTCTACAGCAGCAGTTCTCAACCTGTGGGTCGTGACCCCTTTGTTCAATTGGTAACAACGCAGGCATTAGGAAGGTTGAGAACCACTGTTCTATGGCCTCATCAAATAATCCTTTCCCAGAGCCTGAGCCAAAAATTTCTCCATCTTAATTTGATCTTTTCAACCAAACTTTTTTTTTTCAACCAAACTTTTAAACTCCCTGAAAACAAGGCTGTCTTCTCTCCTCCCATCCATATATCTATAACTCAGGAACGACAAGGCAAAACCTAAGAACCAGGGTTCTAAATCTCAGATGTTAGGGACCTTAGATAATCAAGTTCAGAAATGGGAAGTCTTAACAAAAGCACAAACAAGTAAATCAGAGCAAAATTAAGCTGTTCTAGTTGAAGGGGAGATGGACCATAGTGCTGCCCATGTGGCCCACCCTTCCCTCCTGGGGGAACCTCTGAAGGGGCTCTCCTAGGGCACAAATTTTAAATTGCTAAAGCCTAAATCAGCTGATTCATTTTTTCCCTGGGGAAACTGGACCCTAGGGCTATGATGGGCTTGCCTTTAGTCCCAGAGTAAGTTAGCATCAAAACTGAAACTAATAGGCTTGACCACAGGTCATGTAGTAGGTTCTGTGGCAGGACTGGAAGGCGTGGTTTCTGACTTTCACTCTTGAACTCTTTCTAGCATTATGGAGTCGCTTGTCCACAAATTGGCTGAAGTGACTTGAGATGATTCGGTGTGGCAGGTCCCACCTAGTGGCAAATATTCTATCTTGAGTCAGAGTACTTAACTCACTGGACTGAGACCGAGGAGATGTGGGTTCTGATCCTAGGTTCACAACTCACTGCCCACCTGACCTTCCCCACTTTGAAGCTCAGTTTTCCTTTGTGGAATGCAGACATTGGGCCAAATGGTTCCTATGGTTCTATTCAATGCATGATTGTCTGTGTATCAGTCAGGATCCAGGTCATGCTACTGTAATAACAAAAAATTTCAGTGTTTTAAAACAACAAAGATTTATTTCTGTCTCATGCTGTGTGTTCCTTGTGGTTAGGGAAGAGGGGGCAGGCTCTGCTCATGCTAAGCACTTAGGGATCCCAACAGGCAGAATAGTCACCTGCTAGGATGTTGCTGGCCTCTTGACAGAGGGAAAAGAATGCTCCAAAGGGTGTTATATCTGCAGTTTGCTCAGATGCTCAGCCTAAAGGACCACTCACAATTTATTGGCCAGAACTAATCCCATGTTCCCACTGAATCACAAGAATAATAATCCGACCATGTGCCTGGAATGGAAGAACTGGAAATAGTTGGTAATCAGCATTAATTATACTGAGTTTGCCTCCCTGGTATCCTTAGTTTCCTCCAGAGGAGGGAAGGAGTCAGAAAGGATGACTAGCTTTTCGTAGCCCATCCCAAGAGGCCCTTAGGAACAGAAAGAGCTTCTAAATTCCTGAGGGCGAGTGCTTCCCTTCCTTAGTTCAAATTTTCTGCTCCTAAGAGCAGCCCTGGAGGTCTGGTCAGCTTCTGAGAATGTCTTTAAAAAAACCTCAGCACTGTTTCAGATAACCTCAGAGTTAACACACCTGTCATACTCTCCCCTTTCAAATGCAGTTGCTGTTCCTCAAGAGACAAGTGCTGGACCTGGCCAAGAGTACCATACCATGGTTTGTCAGGTGGTCTGACAAGGCAGGACCTGGTCTGGCCATGTGAAGCAAGGGCCTCTTACGCCAGCACAGGTGGAGGGGTTAGGCCTACTGAAGGACCTATTACAAAATTTGGCCGCCCAAGGGAAGTGGCCTGGTGTTGGCCATGTTATTACAAAGCTAATGTCCAGCGTGAACAAATGGTCATTGCAGTCCCCTGTGTCAATCATACCCTTCTGGAGCATGGGGGGCAATTACAGACACCACATTTTAAGCAGACATTGAGCTCTTAGACTCTGTGCAGAGGAGGCCAGGAGAGTGGCAAAAGGAACTACACCATGAGAAAAAGCTGAAGGCAGTGTGGGCATCTGGCCTTTAGGCACTGATGAGACAGTGTGAGACATATGACAGTGTGAGACACTGTGCCTTTAGGCACAAGAACAGCTCTGGGTGAGAGGGGATGAAATTCACTCACTGGCAAAGCTAGAGCAGAGCCAGGCCTATTGGGTGACAGCTGCAGGGAGGAGCTCCCTAACAGAGCTGTCCAACAGTGGAAACGCTGCCTAGAGATTCCATAGCCTCTCAGCTGGAAGATCGTTTCCTCTGTGGTCATCTCTGTGCTTGATCTCTTCATCCTGTCTGGAATTCTTCCATCCTGAATAGCCAAGTCTGCTGAGCACCTCCACCTAATTGCTCTGCTGTCCCATCAGATTCTTCCCTTGTGAATATCTAAGTCTGCTGAGCACCTCCACTTAATTGCTCTGCTGTCCCATCAGATTCTTCCCTATTCTCCCTGGATATCAGCAGCACTGGCTTTCTTTCACTTGTTCAGCATCTATTTGGTCACCCATTCTTTCTGTTCTTCCCTTTCCTCTAAGCTGCAAAATGCTACCTCTTCAAAACTGTGAGGCAGGCTTTTGTGGGGAAGAACACTGTTCAGATCAGAGTTCTGTCTCCCTTAGCCAGTAAGTGAGAAGCACCTGCCTCTCTCTGAGTTCAGGCCCTGCCCATCTGTGACATAATGACTCAGGCCTGGAGACTGAGGACGCTCTAGTCTGAGGCCTCATCTCCTGGCTCTTTGTCTAGACATGGGCCACTGCCCCTCTGGTCCTATCTGGCTCTCCTGTTCACTCAGCCATGCCCTTGCCACCCCACTCAGCCTCCTTCACCTTCACCTACCACCCTGTAGTAAAATTATGCTCATTATAGAAAATTTCTAAGTATTAAAACCATATGTCTCATTATAGAAGATTTTGGAGATAAAGAGAAGTAAAATGAAGAGAATTAAATAATGCAGTTCGTATTTATGAATAACATTTATATGCCAGGCTCTGGGCTCAATGGGAAGAAGATGAGTAAAACACTCAACGAGCTCGCTATCTAACAAGGAAATAGGAAGGTAAACTGTGATACCACTCAGTCATCGGTGTGACTTACCTGGAAGAGTTGACAACTGAGTTGAATTTCTGGTAAAAATCATTCTAGTCCACTAACTGGACATATTAATTGTCCATTAATAGTTTTATTTATAATAATAATACAGTAGGTATCATTTGTCAAATGTATCTAGGCACTCTGCCAGGTGCTCTAATACATATCATTGCAGTAGTTTATTACTCCTGTTTCACAGATGGGAAAACTGAAGCTAGCAGAAAGCAAGCAGGTGAGTTACAGAAAATCAAGTTGTTATATTTTTAGGATTTGAAGCAGTTTTCCTGCTTAAGATACTGTGTTAGCCTTTTCTGGACTATATCTATGTATATTTATATAGATGGCCTTTTTTTTTTTTTTTTT